CTTCATATATATGTGTGTGTGTATGTGTGTGTGTATATATATATATATTAGGGCTGCACGATAAATCGCATGCGATAGTTAACGCGCATCTTATCAGTAAAGCCGCTTCTCATTAACTACACAGAGCCGTTGTTCTCTGACGAGCTGCGCAAAAAATCGCGCGAATATGAACGTGGTTTTGCGCTGCTCGTCTGTGAACAACGGCTCTGTGTAGTTAATGCTGCTCAATGTGAAAGCACGCACGTGATGGAGATTTACCGCTGATTACAGAACCGGCTTTCTGACAAGATGCGCGTTAAATATCGCATGCGATTTATCGTGCAGCCCTAATATATATATATATGTAATTATTACAAGATACAATGGCCTGGTTCATGAAGGGTTTCTTTAAAGGATCTTAAAGGTTAAAGGTCACAGTATTCACTGGACAGTTTGTACATTCAGATCTTATATCTGAGAGACTGCAGTCTAATGAATGCTACAAATAAGTATTTTTCTTTGTCTTTGATATGCAGCAGAGGAGAGATAGCGCTCTGCTTATTTTATTGTACTGTCTTCTGAATACTCTGTCCTATCCACCTTTGACAAAAGTCTCTGTTTTTCACATGATGGTGCATCTCTCCTGTACAGCAGCAGAAACGCATCAGTGCTTGAGGTGCATGTCCCCCCAACACACACACATGCTTATGCACACCCTTCTGCTTAAAGTAGATCAGTCACCATGGTGATTGGGGGGGAGGGGGCTTAGGTGTAGCCTACAGTCACCAATCGTGGCAGACTGTTAAGGGAGGTTTGAGGGGGTTTCACCCTGCAGCCCCCAGCCCCCACCACCACACTCACTTCCATCCCATAATATTCTCCTGAAGATCAGAGGGATGTTGACACTGTGGACGCAGTTAAAACGAAGCATCTGTTCTGCATGGGCTACTATAAATGCTTGTTCCAGGTGATAGCCAATACCAATCCTGCAACAAGGACAAATTTTCTAGCATTGCCTTCCTCTCATCAAAAGAGCAGTGAGGACATCCAGTGGCGAGATGGATGGATGAGACAGTGAACTGCATTATTCACAAACAAAGAACATGAACTTTAGGTCCTGTAAACCAGAACAGATAAGTTCAATCTTAATTTAAAATCAACAAGACTCAGCAATGGTTTACAGAAAGTCACTCTGGCATTCATTCAGTTCTTACAGAACACTGACTAAGTACATTTGTATTTAATTTGCATGTATATAGAGTAATATGTAATACAATAATAAAATATATATAAAATGTTCAAATGCAAATAATTTTCAAATAATATATATTTAAATTCAAATTATATATACAAATAAATAATAATAATATATTAATAAATTAATATTATATAATTAATAATTTGATTATATTTATATTTATTAATGAATAATTATTCATTATTTAAAAAATATATATAATTATTTATATTTACATAATTATTCAATTAATTATTATATTAATTGTTAATTATCTATACAAATTAATTTATAAACACAGATATGTATTAATTTAAATATTAATTATTTAAAAATATATACAGATAAATTAATCTGTAATTATATATATGTACACACACAAATAAAGTGTATATATATATAAATGATATTTATACAAATTATGTATACAAATTAATAGTTTAATTATATTAACATAAAATATGTAGATTAATGTTTAATATTATTGAATTATTTAAAAAATACACACATATATGCATAAATACATAGATACATACACATTACAAACATTATGCAAAATGTAATATTCTCAAATAATCAGTAACACTGTTAAACTGTAGTTCACAGTCCAGCGCAGGTGTCCACCTGAACCCCATGTTAAATCAAACAAAACAGCCACAATTAGCCACTGTGACATCTCAAATGAGAGTGTAAAACAGATTCCGACAGATTGGACACTTGATTTAAAAAGAAGGGATTTTATTTACGAGCAAGTGTTGAGCAGATGGAGAGATGAGGAGAAGAGAGGCGCCAGACATGACATGAGGGTGCAGGTCGTCATGGTGTTGCTGGGGGAGACAGTGTAAGACGTCACTGCAAAGGACAGCAGGACACAAACAGAGAATACGACAAGAAGAGGGGTGGAAAAAGTGCAAGGGAGGGGAGAGATAGGGGCACTGCTCAAATGGAGAGAAAGGCAGTGAATCTGTAAGAGGGCACAGTTATTTATTTGCTTGCTGAGGTGCAGGAGAGTTCAGCAGTAAAGGCAGACTTAGGTGTATTTAAGTAAATAAATGGTTCTGTAAAATTTTCACAAGATCTGGGGGGATTGTTAAAAATTAAGACACTTTCTGTTTATTGATGTCAAATGTTAGTGAAAATGTCCATAGTTATATAAGTAACTGCTCAGAATTTAGTTTTCTGATTGTTTTTAGATGCCACCTTGTTTAATAATTTGTTTTTAAACTGTGGCTTAAAGTTCACCTAAAAATGAAAATCCTGTTATCATTTACTCACCCTCAAGTTGTCAAAATTCTATATGAGTTTTCTTCTTCTGTACAAAAGAAGATATTTTGAAGAATGTCGGTATCAAACAGTTGATGGTAGCCATTGACTTCCAGAGTATGAAAAAAAAAATACTATAGTCAGTGGCTACCGTCAACTGTTTGATTACCAACATTCTTAAAAATGTTTTCTTTTGTGTTCAACAGAAGAAAGAAACTCATAAAGGTTTGGAACAAGTGAAAGATAAGTAAATGATGGCCGAATTTTCATTTTTGGGTGAACTTTCCCATTAACTACTTTTTGAGGGCCACAGTAGATCCATGAAATCCAAAATCTTGTCCTAATGCTCTCTCTCTCTCTCTCTCTCTCTCTCTCTCTCTCTCTCTCTCTCTCTCTCTGGTGATTTATTTGCCTCAGTTCTAATATTTGTCAGCACTGTGTTTTCTCCTCCTTGTCTAAATGTCATCCCTTCTTCGAAGACAATATGGAGAGAGAGAGAAAGAGGGAGCAGGGCAGAGGGAGGAAAGAAAGTGGAAGGGGGGACACTCGTAAAAAGAGCAACAAAAGTTTGGGAAAATTAAACATTAGGCAAGACACGTTCACACAGGCCCGTTTCAGGACAGGTCTGAGCACCCTTCCCCTGCTGTTCTATCTATCAGGTTATTTATTGTTACGGAACATATTTCTCAGTCAGTTTCCGCTGGCTTTCACACGCAACTCTTTTGTGAGAGTCTCAGGATTTAAGGGCAACATATTCTGATGCAGCCTTCAGGTAACAGATGCTCAAGTCACATGCATTGACAAAAGGAATTCCCTCTCTCTCTCTCTCTCTCTCTCTCTCTCTTTCTCTTGCTTACACACAGATGTATGCATTTAGACAGTGATTTGGCACTCGACTTTTGGTCACTTGCCCTCTTTTTGATGCACAACACAAACACACAGTCGAGCGTGTTAGCATTTGTATAATCCCACGCATCATCCTGCAGGACTCATTAAGCAGAGGTCACGTATTACGTCCTGAGTAAAGTGGACAATAAGTGCAAGCTCATCCCTCAATGTTATTGTACTATGGCCAAAACCTTCACTCCTCCCCTCCCTGAGGTCTCCAACCCTCCCGCCCTTTATCCATCCTTCCTTTATAACCCCACAACCATCACTTCATCCACACTTATCTGTTTTTTTACCTTTGGATTTGCTCATTTTGGCAGACAAATTGGATTATTGGCAACTTTTTCCCCCCCACATATACTGATACAGATCTGGAGCAAATGGAAGTGCTTTCTTAGGATAAAAATATTATTGTGAAATATTTTTTTAGTTAGCTGGGACAAGGGATAACTGATATAGAATCGAAGAAAATGGGAAATCATAAAAGGGTTCTGACCATTTATCTGTATAATTAATAAATTTTTTTTCCCTGTCCTGATTATTTTACTCAACCAAAGAGATATTGAGAGATAGATTTATTTTTTGTTATAGATGACAATGTCATAAGATGAATATCTCTCTCTGTGTGACAATAAGATTACAACTTAGAGGCATTTTATCTTCAAAACATAAGTGGAATTAATGGAAATTATTACAATAGATCAAGTTAATGATATATTGGGATAATTAGCAGATTTGAAACTTAATTTGAGCAGTTCATCGACAGGAATATTTTGGATCCTTTTGGAGCTCAAAGTGGTAAAAATTTATTTTTTTGCCTTCTGTAGTGATTGACTTAGATTGATTTATTAAATAATTTTTATTACATTAGAAATATCACATTTAAAACCTCTCTTTAATCTTTACATTGTAAAGGCTGTCAAAACAGTTTGGTTTGAATTTCTTGAATTGCCTTGTTAAGATTGTATTATGCTCATTAAGCAGCAAATATATATAATATATTCTGATGCCAGTCATAATCTGTCAAAATGTAATTGCTATTATTCCAGTCATGCATATGAATATGCATAAAAATAGTGATTAAGGATGAGCAGTTCAGGTTTTGTTAATTAAAATAAATTAATTTTATATAATATCATAAAATTATATCACACAATAATGTAAAAATTAGCAATGTGATTTCCTATTGATTTTGACAGATATGAGGGGAACAACCCCAATGTAACGGGTACATCTGTAAGACTGAAAGAAACAAGAGTTGATCACTAATTCAGAAACAGACAGGTAGTCAGACAGACAGGCAATCTGATGCCAACGGTCTCCTCTGTGACTCTCCTGGGACGACTCCTCCTGCTGTTGCTATGGGCACCCCACCTCACCATGGCAACCAACTGGCTGTAAGTTAGCTTGTATGAAAGCGTTTGTTTGTTATGCCATAACTTGTAAAAGATGGTGACATATATCTTTCTCACACTTTCTTTGTTTCTACTCTATTTGTTGCCTCTTCCTGCTGTTTTCAATTTACCTACAAAAGGTTGTCCTTTTATTTATATGTCCGTTTTTGTTTTTTTCTTTGATACTATTAAATTTTTTTTTTGGGTTTGATGTATTCTCCATGTTCTTTACTGTGCTGTATTCTCTCTGTAGTTCTCTGGCACGTCTGCCACGCTCACGTCCTGTGTCTGGTGCAGAACCATGTGGCCGACTGAGGGGGTTGACACCAGGCCAAGTTGGGGTGTGCCGGGCACGGTGGGAGGTCATGGAGTCTGTGCGAAAGGCTGCAGAGATGGTCATTGAGGAAGTGAGAGAGACTGAAACACAATGACTCACGATGACAATTTTGTGTACATACAGTACTGACATTCATTTTTTCAAGGACATGATGGTAAAGAATCATGTCAAAAATGTTTATACAGAAAGCTCCTGTCACCAAGACGGATTCCTTGTGTATGTAAACACACTTGGCAATAAAGCTCTTTCTGAATTTGATTCTGGCCACACAAAAAGTATTGTACATTTCTGCTGTTATTGTCCCGATAAAAAACACAGTTCATTGAACTCACATTTTTATTCTCTCTATTGTTTGTGACAACTAGCCCCGGTCACATTTTAGCCCACAAATACTCTTTAGACTAGAAATGAGCTTTAACATTTAAGCTTTAACAGTTTCATATAAATCTCTGACTTACAGCTATTTGTTGCATTTTAACCACTGCAGTGTCAACATCAGTTCCGAAACCGGCGCTGGAACTGTTCCACCACCCCTCGCGGGATCAATATTTTTGGACGAGTCATGAACCAAGGTTACAATGAAACTATGTCACAACATACAGTATCAGAACATAACATACTGGATTATGCCATTAATTTATGCAACAATTATCCATATAACTTTACCATCATGGCTCAGGTATGGGGTATAATCAACTAAAAGTGTTTAGTTTCAAATTAAATTTAAATTAGTTTAGAAGACCAATTGTTTTATAGGTAAAAAAAAAATACTTTTAAATATTTAGGGGGCCTCAGAAAACTTTCATGGGGGCATAAGGATGATTTAAAAGTACTTAAATTAATAATGCGTAATATATTAAAATAATCTAACTCTAATCTAAAATTTTTTTTTTAAATCAAGATATTCACTGAAATCATATTTCTGTCCCCCCTCAATAAGTATTGTTTTTATTGAAGAGAATAGAGTTTTTGATACTTGGGGAATCACCAAAATGTCAAAAAAGGGGTAAGTTAATTAATTTAATGTACCAACACTTCCAGCTTCTTTTGCTAAAAATTTGAATACAAGCAAAGTTTTCATAATTACAACAGAAATACCAGAAATATAAGCCTATATAGGAAGGCCTTCAAATATTGTGTTGGACAATAGGTGGCCTTCGAGTCAAAAAGCTTGAGAACCACAGTTTCAGAGTATTATTATTAAATGACTGATTATTAATAAAAGACCATTTACCAACATTCTTATTACATTCATCTCACAAAACACAATCAATACTGTCAGCATTAAAAAACAAGTTAGTTTAGTCCTGTTCCATTTATGTGCTATCTTCAGGTACCCGTGAGGCGGCTTTTGTCCATGCTCTTTCATCAGCAGCAGTTGCTGTGGCTGTGACTCGGGGTTGTAGCAGGGGAGAACTGGAGAGGTGCGGCTGTGACCGAAAGGTCAGGGGGGTCAGTCCTGAAGGTGCGTAGTGAAACACAGATAATTCACATGAATAAAAACATGTGTCAAACATATGCCTCTCACTCACCCTTAGGTTTCCAGTGGTCAGGTTGCTCTGATAATCTGTCCTATGGCGTTGCACTCTCTCAGACCTTTGTGGACGAGCCAGAGAGAGCTAAGGGCATGTCGTCAGGGCGACCGCTAATGAACGTTCACAATAATGAAGCAGGACGGAAGGCAAGCAAGATGTTTATCAAAACTTATCGTCAAATGCATATTGGTTTTCATGCTTTTTTCTATCTTTGTTCAGGCAATCCTCCATAACATGCAGGTTGAGTGTAAGTGTCATGGTGTTTCGGGGTCCTGTGAGCTCAGAACTTGCTGGAAGGTCATGCCTCCGTTCCGCCGGGTCGGTGCTGTGCTGAAAGAACGCTTTGATGGGGCCACAGAGGTATGTCACAATGGCTCTATTCCAAAAACTACTGAGCTGCCTAGCTGACTACTACCTACACAGGTAGCTGTCTTCTAAGGCAGAATCCTAACTAAGATGGAACCTCTTAAGTGACTGATTTGGAACCAAGTGTGTAGTGATGTGTCGTTCGCAAACGAGCCGGGATTCTTTGTAGCGAACGAGAAGAGCCGACTCCCGTCGGGGAGAGCCGAATCTTCAGCCGGAGCCTTCTATTTTAGCCCAATTTAGCAATTGTGAATAGTTTGTGTGTTGGTAAGCAATTTTTTAATTTTGTGTTTTCATAAAAGCCTTATTTTTATGCATTTTTAAGCACATCCAAGCTGAGGCATCAGTCTTAATGTTAAGACTTTTGCCTTTATTTATTTGTTTGCTGTGGTTCTGTGTTCAATTAAAGTTTTATTAAAATGTTAAATAATGGTAGGCCTATCTGTGTATTTTTTTTTTTTGTAACGAAAAAAAAAAAGCATAAAAATAAGGTTTTTATGAAAACACTGAATAAAAAAATTGCTTACCAACACACAAACCATTCACAACTGCTAAATTGGGCTAAAATAGAAGGCTCCGAGTGATACTAAATAAAGAGCCATTTGGGAGCCGTAAGAGCTGGCTCTTCTAAGGGAGCCGAGCCAAAAGAGACGAATCTTTGAAAAGAGCCGAACTTCCCATCAATACTGTGCCAAGCATGTCCTTAAAAGTGAAGCCAAAACACTTTGATCGCCCCCTGGTGGCTGGCTGCAATATAGGTCATAAACCCACCCTCTCCATGTAAATAAATGGGTTCTGTGCCATACTAAAAAAAATCTAATTACACTTCAGATATGGTTTCTGTAATTTTACGTAGTTCTTATCACACTGATGTGTGTTGAAGTGTTTGGTTTTAGTTATTCAGACAAAAAGATAAAGGTACAAGACTATGTACTTAATGGCTTTAATGAGAGAAAGAACTAAAATCCCATGAAGCACTGCAAATGACAGTCAGATAAAAAAGGAATTAAAACTATTAAACTACTAAATATTAAACTAGTGTTTTAAAGCTGTTGACTATAGAAGTAGAAACCATATATTTTATGTTTATTGCAAAATAAGCATATATGTAGCCTGAGAGCATAGGGACAATGATTCGATTACAGTATAGTCATGGGAGTGTGCGGCGCTAAAGAGTTTTTTATCATTATTTCTGAATGTCCTTTGATGGTTTTTGGAGTTTGTCACAATGCATTCTCTGTGAAGGATACATGCAATGCTGCATTAGAATTTGGCCTTATTGTTGAAGGCAGCATAAATATGTGTATCTAAGGTCAAGGGTCACGGTCGTACTTTCTGCTTAGGTACGGCTGACACGTGTGGGCTCTCGCACAGCTCTCCTTCCACGGGACCCCCAAGTGAAGCCACCAGCCGCACGGGACCTGGTTTACCTGGCTCCTTCACCAGATTTCTGCCGCTTGGATCCAGACAATGGCATTCCTGGCACTGCAGGACGACGTTGTAATGGTAAAAGCATAAAAATCAGACAAAAAATTAACTTTAATCTTTCTGATTATTAATTCTCTAATCATTTCCCTGGTTTTATGTGTTATTTTATCACTCTTTACTTAACCTTTTCTATTGTTCCACATCCTAGGAACCTCACGGTTGGCACCAGATGGATGTGAACTGTTATGTTGTGGCCCAGGTTTTCGAGCAGGCAGGGCTGAGGTGGTTCAGCGCTGCTCCTGTAAGTTCTCCTGGTGCTGCTCAGTTCGCTGCCAGCAGTGTAAGAACACAGTGCTCATACACACCTGCCGAGAATGAGACATACCTGGAAAAAACACACAACCACACCAGAAGCACCTCATCTCATGCCAGCCTGCATTAATTCCCACATGATGAATAACAAACCAGCTCCATTTAAAACATCCTGCATCATGTCTCATTTTTGGTGACTTTAAAGTTCTTTCAGATGTGACATTACATTATACAGTTATTTTATTCTGCAATTGCATTTTTGCTGAAAAGCAAAGTGTTGAACTTGAACATACAGGCACTATTACATTTCTTAAATGCTCAAATACACATAAAATACAAAACCATTAACTAACTTGCTCAGACAACGCTCTTAAAGGCTGAGATTAACCTCTGAATAACAGCAGAAAAATGTTAGTTTAGTCTAAGGCCTTAGCATTAAATTCTAGTCAAGAGTTGCTCTCTCCCGGTTTACTGTATTTATAATTTCTTTTCAGTTTTGCTGATTGTGTTTATTTATTTGAGTTCATCATGCCTTATCTCTGAATGGAAAATTCCACCTGCAAACTCTCCGGCTTTAGCTGTTTTGTTTCGGCTCGTTCTGTTGCATAGAGGCTCATTTATTGCCATTGTCTCATTTTTATAATCTATATGGCCTAAAATAAAGTTGTTTGACATCCTACATGTAGAAAGATGCCGTTTTGTTCATTATGGATTGACACATTTTAAATTAATAAATTAAATTCAAAATGCTGGGGTCAGTACGATTTTTAAAAACGGTTTTAAAAGTCTCTTAGGGTCACCAAAACTACATTTATTTGATCAAAAAATACTTTTACAGTCAAAACACATCTTTTATATTTTTAAAAGTAATTTATTACAGTGATGGCAAAGCTGAATTACTCCATTACTCCAGTGTAAATCATTCCAATATGCTGATTTGGTGCTGGAGAAACATGTATTAGTAATGTTGAAAACAGTTGTGCTGCTTACTATTTTTGTGGAAACTGTTTTTTTCCCCTCAAGACTCTTTAATAAATATTCAAAAGAACAGCATTTATTTAAAACAGAAATCCTTTGTAACATTAGATTTATGGATCCTTCCTGAATAAAAGTATTAGTTTCTAAAAAAAAAAAAAAAAAAATCTTACTGACCCCAAACTTTTGAATGGTATTATGTGTGGCAAACACTAAACAATCAAGTAATTATTTAAAAACAGGATAGAAATACAGCTGTGTGTCAGTCGCACAACTTTTATTACAAATATAGTGAGATTCCAAACACCGCAGAACTTTACTAAGAAAAGGCCACATTTCAAACCATCATCATCGGTTATCCTCATCCTTTTTACTCACACGACTGTTAAGATCGGTTATTCAAAATATTACATTTCAAATTGTTATTTTATTATTAAATCACAATCAAATGGTACTCTAGCAAAAAAAAAATTTTTTATAATAATAATAATAATAACAATAAAATAAGTCATTTAAAAAAAGCTAAAGTTTCAAAATGTCACCTCTAAATTCATTCACCCATGAGAATAACAGTAATACATTTAATACATCATACTCAAAGTCAAAACAAAAATAAAAAAATAAAATTCAGTTTTCTAAACGGCCAGCAGAAGGCACTGCATGGCTTGAGAGTAAATGCACTTAAGAGAGATTCTAGGAGCATGAAGCACAGAAGAAGAGAACAGTCTGGCTCATACAGGAAGAAACAGATGCTTGTGAACTAAAATCCATTGGCTCCCACGCAAGTCCCAAACTCTCTTATATAACCTGTATCACCTACACAGGTCACTCAGGAGGGGATGTGGCCATAGAGTGATTTCTATGGCCATAACACTCTGATCCAACATTAAAACTGTAAAAATGTCTAAAACTGTTATTGTTTATTTTGTATATGTTCTGTTTCAATGCCATTGTCAGTGATTAGAGCTAATTATATGCCCAAACCAATCACGTTAGCTTGCTTTTGTGCCAGATCCAGTCCAGTACATATTAATAACAGTATATGAACCACATATAGCACTGAACCTGCCTACAGTTGTCATGTGAATCCAACGTCTAGAACTGGCAAAAACGCAACTGGAAAACAGACCCCCCCCAGAACAACACTAAAAGGCAAATTTGTCAAGAATCGCTTTTGTGCCCATTGCAATTTTGTGACGCTGTGAAAATGCTCAACTGAAGAGATTCAAGAAAGCAGAAATCAGCTTCTGCACACACACTATCCACAGGTTACAGAGCAAACAGCTGAGCCCTGCAGAAGTGCTCATCAGAGCAGTCAGCATGTTCGGCTTTACACTTTATGAAATTTGCTGTTTATAGACATTGTGTGCTAACCATTCTTGTGCAGCTTACAGCAAAGCATGTCAGAGAAAAACCTGGCGTTTGTCCAGCGAAAGCATTTCAAAAAATCATTTTGGATGCCGATCAGAAACCTGAAGCATTTAATCTCATGTATTTGTGCCACTGTCACACTTTTTTGGGATCGATTACATGTAACTGACACTTAAAGTATTAAATTGGATCTATATGTTGCTCTGTAAGACATCACATGCGTAAAGTGCGCCTATATCTTTTCTTTTTTGTCATTATACTCTTTGTTTGTAGGGGGTGTTACTGGTTCCAGGGTTCTCTAATTTCTTCTGTTGTTCTAGAAACATTTAGAAAGGCAGATAGGTTTTTTTTTTTTGCTGTTTTGTTCCCATAATTTTTCCCAATTATAACTCTCTCCACTCCAAACCCCAAGCCTTAAAAAAACCCCACCAGAATGTTTCTTTTTCTCTGCCTCTCTTGTTGGAGTGAGTGCATCACCCACTGCTTGTGTTCCTACAAAAGGACGCAGCGCTTCTTGGGTTTGGTCTCTGGAGGTTCAAGGGCAGCGAGTATCGCCTCGTCGAATACATTCTTCAGGCCTCTCTGTAAGAAAGAGATCGTAAAAAGTCATTTGCAGTGGGTCATGTGGGTGATGATAAGTGAGTAGAGCTTTTATGTCATCACGGGTGTGTTTTTTTACCTGTGTGAGGGCGGAGCACTCCACGTATTTGACAGCTCTGAGGTCTCTGGCCAGCTTCTCCCCACTCTCAGGCGATATGGGGCGCTGCTTGTTTTTGGCAAGTTTTTCCACAGTGTTACTGTCATCCCTCAGGTCAACCTGAGTACCTACCAGAAGGAACGGAGTGCGTGGACAGTGGTGAGAGATCTCTGGTACCCACTTAAAGAAAGAGAGAGGAAAAAAAGGAGTGGTAAGACAGTGCCTAGAAAGCTACTCATAGCACAAACAGAACAAACAACCCAACAAACTTAAAAACACACTTTTTTCAAAATTCAAAAAACACAGAAATTTTCAAAAATCTAAATTATTAAAACAAAAATGCATTCATTATACATAGCATATAAATATAATTATATACTAAAGTACAAGTTCAGTATGTTTTTTAAAATACGTTTATTCTGCAAGGATGCAAAAGATTAAAAGTGACAAACATTTATAATGTTACAAAAGACTTCTATTTCAAATAAATGTTTTGTGAACCTTCTATTCATCAAATAATACCATCAAACATTAAATAACTGCAGCCTTGGTGAGCATAAAATACTTCTTTCAAAAACCAAACTTTTAAATGTTAGTGTGTGTATAATAGAATTACTCAAAGTAATGAATGGCCCCAGTTGAAACACAAAAATAAATGGTAAAATTATTCATTCTCCAAGTTAGACCATATTAAATGGTTTATTAAGCATTTTATTGCTTAAAATACAGCTTCTTAAGACTGTGAAATGATATGGGAAACATGAAACCAGCACCACTTTACAGGAAATTGGTTCCTGAAATAGACTGTTAAATAGTCATTCTATAAAAAACATTTGATCACAGAATGCTGCAATTCATCAATGATAATTGCATAATAAATACATCTGTTTAATAATCTTAATTTACACACATTTATTTACACTAGAAATCTGAAGAGAAAACCACTGACAAATATTCATCTGAAAGAACATTACAAAAATAACCCTTTTCTCCAGAAATCTGATAAGTCTGATAAGTGATCAGTTTAAATACATCACTGGTCTATTCACATGAGTTCCATTCTCCAAGTCCAGCAGGAAAATCAGGTACTGCTAAAGAGTGCTTTAATGACACTAAACAACATGAGACGTCAGTGTCATCAAACTAAAACCTGACTGTATGAAACATACAATGCTGTTAAAGCAAGTATCAACACTGTAATGTGTCTGTACATGAAACCATGCCATAGATATGGCACTGAAACTTTAAACGCTAAATTGTAGGGATGCTCCGATCAGGATTTTTGCAGCCAATACTGAGTACCGATTTCTTGTCATGGTGATCGGCCGATACCGATGCTGATTCTGATGCGTCAAGCTTTATATAGACGGTTTGATCGGGCGCACGCGCCTGGCCCGAAGTTAACTTCCGGTCTGTGTATGTTTATCAGTCTGGATATGGCGCCGGCTACAAACGCCGTTAAAGTTAAGGTGATGAGTAGACTAAAGTTGGGCTCAGGTGGTTGTGCTGTGGGATGGGTTTCCCATACATTTATTTATTTGTGGCGCTCGCCACAATATCAAAACTGACTGATTTTCCTAAAGGCTTCGTTGAATAAACATGAGCACGTACTGCACGTACTGTTTTTATATCACTGTATTTCTGAAGGAAGACTATCTTTAGAAAATTTTCGATATCATTTTCATTTAATCTTGCATGTTATATGCCTGATAAATAGGGATGGGTATCGTTTTAACGGTGTTACTACTCTTACCGATACTGCTTATCGATTCGGTACTTTAACGGTATTCTTATCTGTACTTTTTGTTTTATATATGACAAATTAAGAGCTGAATTAACATTGCTTTATATTCTGAAATGTAAGATAAATATTTAATGAAATGAATATAAAACATAAATTTGTAAATGCACCAGTGTACAGGCATTTTTAGTGTTTTATACTGTACATAAGACAAGATACAGTAAGAACATGAACAAAGAAACAAAGTAAAACAAACTGACAAATACAATAAAACAAATATACAAATGAAATGAAATAAACAGTGCTGTCATTTTTCCATGAAGTATACTAACATTACTGTTCAGGTAAGTAATTATAAGTAATTAAGTATTACAAGTAAGTTAAGTAATTACAATTTTCACTGTATGTATTGATAGATTAATACTTATTAAAGCTATAACGTAATTCAGATTAAGAGCTGTGAGTGATTTTGTCTTTGCATTTTGTTGTTTGATTAACTGATGGCCCAAGCGCCAGTCTGTCAGTTTAAGACAATATATTGACACACATTGGATTTTCTCCCAACTGTTCTCGTCCACTTAAGACATAAAATGTGTTTAAGTAAATACTCTCCAAGCCGGCCATTTTGACATATTTTGTGTGTATTTCATCATTTGGACGCGCCCGAAGCTTAAAGTGTAAATAGCTTATCCATTTTGGAGCGCGTCGCGTGCACACATTTCAGCATGGGGAACAGCGTCTCTTGTGCGGATTGTGCTTTCAACGGTTTATCATCAAACATGTCCACAATTTAGCAACAGTATAAGATGGCCTTTTTTCAACAATCACCGATTGTGCTGATTCTGACTTTTAAGTTTGGGTTTTAGGGAGGAATGAATGCGCACCGCTGTGAAGGGAAAAAAGTTGCGCTAGAAGAAACGCGGCTATAATCCTTAGAAGCCAAAATCTAATTAAAAAATAAAAATAGCTTAAAACAACCACAGGCCTAAAGTGTAAGCAGATGTTCGAATGTTTAGTTCTCTCCTCTATCATAATTAAGCAGGCATTTCATGTTGCGCGTGCTGAAGCTCCTCCGCATGAGTGCGATCTCGCTTCGGAGTTGCGAATAGCAAAAATGCATCATAGACAAATGTTTGAATATTATTGCATATAAAAACAGCTAGCGACTCTGGTGAGAAAGAATTTGCAAGACAATGTATCTATAGCAATAATAAATGTATGTGTGTTTTCTTAATTTCTCCAGTACCGATAGCAGAACCGTTAACGTCAGAGCTTATCGATACTCCGGTCTTTCATAATTTAGCCCCGGGACTGATTAAATACCGGGTTTCAGTACCCATCCCTACTGATAAAGCAGCGTTTGTGAGCTCAACGCTGCTTTGTGTACAGCCGTTACCGGGGAAACCTTTCCCCCGCTTTAAAGCACCTCCTGCTGGCAGAGAATGAATTAGCATTTTCAGTAAGTCCGTCTGATTTACGCAGAAAACATATTTTGCTTTTCCTATATCCAAGGGCGCTGCGGATAGTCCATGGGTCGGGCAGAACCGCTAACGTCAGAGCTTATCGATACTCCGGTCTTTCATAATTTAGCCCCGGGACTGATTAAATACCGGGTTTCAGTACCCATCCCTACTGATAAAGCAGCGTTTGTGAGCTCAACGCTGCTTTGTGTACAGCCGTTACCGGGGAAACCTTTCCCCCGCTTTAAAGCACCTCCTGCTGGCAGAGAATGAATTAGCATTTTCAGTAAGTCCGTCTGATTTACGCAGAAAACATATTTTGCTTTTCCTATATCCAAGGGCGCTGCGGATAGTCCATGGGTCGGGTAATAAAAAATGCATTCTGATTATTTGCGGGTGGATAAAATAAATCATAAATGATGCAAATATTAACTACATTTTTTTCATGAGGCAGACGATTTTGTGTGTGTGTGTGTGTGT